ATTCTTTTGATATATTACGAAATGGCAAAGGTATGTAGAATTCAAATAGTTTTGAAAATTTCTGCTGTTAGTAATAAAACTCAACATCAAATTTGTCATATCTTGTTTTTGACTCTCTTCACTAATGAATCATGGTAAACGTTGGGTGGATATCCTTTGTTAATTTTACCCCAAATATCTTGGAACAACAAGACTTGTCTAACATCATTGGCAGCGCAACGAGACATCCTCCTTTGTTTTACATCACCACCCTGTAGAAATAAGAATTTTCTTTAACTGGGACTTTTGAGACAGACGTACCGTTTGGCTTTTTAATCATGCGTAATAACGGAATTACTCGCCCTGTACCTACGAGCATGGGATTTCAAGTTTTCTATACCTACACACCCGAGACACACGATAAGAAAATGGGATGGAAGGAAAAGGTCAAAAGCAGTATCTGGCTCAGACATGACGTATGTAAAATTGCCGTCTCGGTTACCTCGGAAAAGGGAAATTTTTTATTAAAGATTTTCCACGTGATTTAATAAAGCTATACGTGAAAACAGTCTAGAAATATGTATTTGTATGCGCATTTCGAGGAAGTCCTTATGGAGTGCTTATGAAGCGATATTGGCATATGAACAGGAAGGCGCATCGATTGTAAGCATTCGTAGAACTTCCGGTAACTGGAATCCATACTTTTGCGGGTATCTCTCATTGGTGAGGTGATAACAGTATAATAAAAATTACATTGAGTGGGAGTGTGATGTTAAAATCTTCATTGGATGTTCAAGAATGGGTGTAGTTGTGGTTTCCGATAAAACCGGGAACCCGCTAGTTTAGTACAGTATTGGGTTTTGATAACAGAACTAGATTCATAAAGTGATTGTCAGACGTGTTTTCTTGGCCAAAACATGCACACATGTTACCCTAGCGGATCCAGCAACATATTGCCGATGTCTCGTGGTGTGTTTTAAACTAGACCCTACAGAGAAATCTTAACATTATCTGTATCAAGTCTGAATTTTGTTTAGATTAGAAATCTGGTGCAGCAGCGCTATGAACGCACTGCAAAGCTTTGTTGCGTCAGCCAGTGAACTGCACAGTTGAGCAGATTCACAAGCATTTCAGGCTTGCGGCTTGAACTGTGAATAAAATTAATCGGTCTTATGCAGGTCTTGCAAAAAGGTTTCTTTCGTAGTTATTTTTCTATAGGAAAACAGGAGTATTACAGTCGTTTCAGCAATACATATGTACTTCTCCGCCAGTAGAATTTTTTAATTTTTTAATCGTTGTTCCTTCTTTTCCCATATTTCTTCTTATTCTTCTCTAGCTCTATGACTTCATCTGGTTGCTGCGTGATCCGACAAATTGTCAAAGTGACTGACATACCTTGGCAGACAATTTTCAAAACCTCAACATTTTTGAAATTTTCTAATTAACAGTCGTGAGTTCCTTTTTAATTTTTGAGGATTTTCAGATTTTAGTATTCAATATTTTCAAAACTTCCAAGAGTTTCAAAATTTTCATTCCAATTTTCAGTTTACAAAATTTTCGGATTTTTCAATTCTCTTAATGTCACTAAACTGGTTTTCAAAGTTTATAAAGCTTGGAAAACAAGAGACATTGAAAATTCTAAATGTCTGAAAAAAATATTGAAAAACTTGGAAACCTTTAAGAGCTTTAGAAAATTTTGACTACTTTAAAATTTCGAGAAAACTTAAAACTTAAAAAATCACGGAAATGTAGAAAGCTTTGAAAATCTAAATGTGAAATCTCAACATGCGGGTCACCCAAGAGTCATTTCTGTATGTTTAAAATCTAAGGGTTGACTAACCCTCAATCTGCCTCTAAGCGTCATTACTAATGTGGGCCTCACGTAACCTAAAGCGATCCAGGCTGCAGCAGTTTTCTGCTCTATCGAAGTAGCCGTGGAATTGCTTTGCCAGTTAGCAGCAGTTTTCATTCGGCTGTCAGTTTTGATAGTTTGTTGCATCGAGCCTGACTGAGGGCGCAGTAGATCGGTCTGTTAGCAGATACTGCGCACGCGCAGGATACCTGAGATTAGGAAAATCAATCACAAACTGAGAACTTGGGCTGGTACCACGTTCTGATACTAAACTGAATCGTGAAACCTCCCGCACACGCTCCTAAAAGAGAATCAGCCAAGTGCAAACTTACAGATTTGACAAATAATTTTTATAGTTATAAATCACACTTTTGGCAGGTGATTTTTCTTAACTTTATGATAAATCTGCTAGAGCTCCTATAAGATATACTTTTAGTGTCACTAATTCAGTTTTTCAAGATGTTGCCAGATGAGTCCGACAACATTCTTCGAACACAAGCACAAGCATCCTTCTCTCTACAATTGCTATATTACAAAAAGCCCAAATCACAGTTCATTAAGGTAAAATAGTTTGGTTCAAAGAGGGAGGATGGGCCTCCTATCCGCGAAACGTGCTATATCCCCCATAACATTATATCCCCAAGAAATTCTCCAAGTAAACATCCCCAAAATCGGAGAAAAATCCCCCAGCATGGCAATCCTGTCAAAGTACCACTGGTATTCCAGGCTCAAGTTTTGGGGTCGTTTTTACAGCACGAACAATATTGCCGTCGCTTCTCCTGGTATACAGGTTCCATGGTTTGTTGTGATGGTCCATAGGTGGTAGACGGTCTCAGTCCATCGAGCGTGTAGGTACCACCCCACGGATCTCTGAGGTGGAGCCAAAGCGTGTGCACACGTGCACACCCTTCCTCCTGCACACCTCTATAGCCCCAAGGGTACCCACAAGTATTTCGGCCTTAGGCTTGCGTGGTGTCTCAAGTATAAAGTAAATATGTGGTTGTTTCGCTACTCGACAGCTCTGTAAGCTCTTCATTTCCAACATCCCATATTGATTCGGATATGTATACCCGTGCACATACCACAGCTATTAATCCTCAAGTTAACAATTTAGAGAGTTGTCCAACAAAGTTTTGCTTATAAACAGCATGAACTGATCACGACGATTTTATCAGGGGACAATACAGCAATCGGTTCTATTTGAGTTTGTATTTACTGTGGAATTTGTGATTTGGGTTCAGCTGTTTTGACGGAGTTTTCCATTAATTGCAATGTAATAGCCGTTGTTTAAATGATGTCGTCCCGTTGGTTACGTGTTTTCTTTTACCTGGATTCATAGGGATTCTTTACGCCATAGAGAAACATTTACATGCTCTGTAAATTGTGAAAGTGATGAGACTGATGTTTTTGACTGAAAAATGACAAACGAAATACCCTGTATATTTATATAGCTTTTCTTGGAACTTTTGATTATTTATCAGACGTTTTCGAACAGTTTACGAGTTATTCCTATTAATTCCAAGAAAAAATATCTAAATACCTTCAACAATGGCGGAGCTGCGAGACGTCAACGCTGGGCATTTTTTAGACACATCCGCTTTGTTTTAAAATGTGTATAGTAACGTATGTTTTTTGAATATCGTAGCGCATTTGTTCAATTACTCACAAATACGAAATGTTTGATTTTGTTTGGAAGAAAAAAACGTAACATTTGTTTTTCGCATAAAAATAACATTTATCTTTGGGAATGGTTTGTGATTCATATCGGCAAGGTAAATACGTGTGCTATTAAATGTTCTTTGAACAAACCCTGTATACTCCTCAATAAACTAGTGATGATGGCCGTAAAACAGGCGTTTTGGGATAAACAATTCGAAATTCTCAAAAAATTGCTACTAATTTTGTTGGTTATTTAGAAGTATGAATCCTCCAGATTTGAAGAATTTCAAATAGTTGCCTGAAATTATCGTCGAATTAATAACAAGTGCCAAAACCTGCATTTTGCCTCGTTTTTTGGCCATAACATTTCTGCTATTAGTCGGATCTTTTCAAGTGTGGTCTCATAAGTACCTAAAAATCTTACATGAAAAGTTTTTTCGTTCCTGTCAACACTTTCGATTGAATCCCAGAAAACACGTTATCTCATTCTTTGTTGTCAAATAAAAAGTTTTCCCACAAAAATTGAACAAGTTGCACCAATAAATCCAGACTTTACAATTATTTCGGGGAAATTTGCCAATATGATTAGACTATTTAGGGTATGATGTTCGATATAAAGAGGTAGTTTGCCTGAAGTATTTTTGCTTCTAAAGGTTTTTCGGATTGTAAATCCTCAACAACGGGGACAAGTTGCATTATTTGCATGCGCACCTAGGTATACAGATACAAGCATATCAGCTCGAGTGGCCAACATGTCGAATCAGGGCGAAATGCAATTTTTCGGTTTATTTCCAGATTTTGTCTATTGAGGCATGCCAAACATCATGTTTCTCAATCCCATTCAAAAACCTTTCAAATCATGTTATCCCGGAGAGCGCCAGCAGAGATGCAACTTTAAAGAAGATTCCTTTTATTCGATTACAGAGAAGCTTTCACTCAAATGGATTTCGAAATATCCGAGTAAAGTAATGTTTCGAGGCTGAGTACGAGAACATAGTTCAGTACACAGATGCTCAGATTTTGTTAGCCGTTACAAACCTAAATACAACACAGTGAAAATGACATTTTCAGCAGGCTGTCCTTACTCCATTGTTGATGGTCTAAGATCTGGCCCAGGAAACGTAAATTGAAATTTCTTACTACCAATTCGTTTATCTTTCAGGTTTTCTATGACAAAGTTTTCAAGGACGTCTTCGTATCTGCGTGGAACGTCGACTACCAATGTCGCACGCGAAATAGCTACATTGCACGAGACTCATAAAGTTCATTCTTGAATCTGCGCTTTCAATGTCCTCGGATTCTTGAGATTAATCAGCAGGTATTAGAAATGCTTTTAATCAAATTTGCAACGTTTCGGCGTTTATTTTACGACTTCCTCGAAGCTACAAAAAATGTGAAAAAATACATTGGAAATTCAAAATTCTTAATGTAACAACAAAGTGAAAAACTGAGTTGGAGATTTTACCAGAAAAATACACAAGAGTATAAAAAAAACTATAGAACAAAGAAGCTTAAAGGATGACAATAAACGTGTGTACATATCTAATGTTTTCTTATGAAAATGTTTTAGATAAATGAAATAATTGCCCAACAGTTAAAGAAACCATTTACAGGATAATCCTAAGAATAGATAAATCAAACTAACAAAAATAGAAAACGTACTAAAACAAACAAGAAAAAGAAGCAAAAAACATATTTCACTCAAGTGAGAAACATACACCTAATGGCCCTAATGAATAAAAATGTAGGAATTGCTTTGTCTTACAAAATTGAAGGAAAAGCTTAAAAACCTATGAATAAAAATCTGAGTAATTGCTTTTGCCTTCAGCAATTGCTTAAAGTTGCAGCAATTGCTTTTAGATAAAGCTTTTTCTCAAAAAACACCAGCTATTGCTTTTAGTGAAATTTTGTTCGTTCTACTACATATACGGATTGTTTTTACTGATTTGGAATTTGGTAGTTATGGTCGAATATGTGAATATTCGTGTAAAAAAGTATACAGTGTACGTAAAGAGTGCCGAGACAATGCTTTCCGAAAATTATATCGGTTTAATCGCGAAAATGTGGAGTGGTTAGCGCATTATTTTTTGGCTGACAGCGGTGAAAAGCGAGGAGGAGCATTATCAGCTGTGAATAAGATGAAAATTTTTCTGCGTCAGCTGTCAGACCCTGGCTTTCAAAATGCCGTTGCTAAAGAGCTTGGTGTTCACCAGACTACTGTTTGTAAAACATATACTTCCGTCCTGAACGCCGTTTTGGAGAAGGCCAACATTTGTATTAAATTCCCCAAAAGTGCTGAAGACTTTATGGATACTAAATAACTGTGGTCGGAGAGATACCGTTGTACGCATGTTAGGATTCCAAAGTTTGCTGAATTCGGTGACGAATATATAAACAGGAAAGGATATCCAAGCATCAACATACAGGCAACTTGCAATGCCAAATAAATATTTACAAGTGTAGACTGTCAATGGCCAGGCTCTGTACATGGACAGCAGAATATTTAAAAATTCCAATATATTCAACATTCTTAAAAACAGCACCGAAGAATGTGTATTATTAGGGGATGATGACTATTCTATTTCCCCTTGGATTATGACTCCCTGGAGAAATCCATCAACCCCAGAACAGCAAAATTGTAATAACGTTTTTTGTCGAGAACGAGTAATAATTGAACGATGCTTTGGGCAATTAAAAGCAAGATTTCCTGTCCTACAGTATAAAATCTGGAATAAATTAGAAAAAATACAACAATAATTTCCTGCGTTGTTCTTCATAACATAGCTAAATGTTTAAATGATAAAGATTTTGATTACGTGCATCATGAAGCTGATGCTGAAATTAACTTAGACACTGTCAATTTAACTACAAATTTAATTCGTCAATTAAGACAACACAAAAGGCAAATATTAGCCCTAATGAATAAAAATGTAGGAATTGCTTTGTCTTACAAAATTGAAGGAAAAGCTTAAAAACCTATGAATAAAAATCTGAGTAATTGCTTTTGCCTTCAGCAATTGCTTAAAGTTGCAGCAATTGCTTTGAGATAAAGCTTTTTCTTAAAAAACACCAGCTATTGCTTAAACATGCTTAGAATGGGATGAATAAAACACGCAATTGCTTTTTCTAGTGTAGTAATTGCTATTAGATATTTAAAGTAGGTCGATCCCAACTTGCATTTGCTTTTAGTGAAATTTTGTTCGTTCTACTACATATACGGATTGTTTTTACTGATTTGGAATTTGGTGGTTATGGCCGAATATACGAATATTCGTGTAAAAAAGTATACAGTGTACGTAAAGAGTGCCGAGACAATGATTTCCGAAAATTATATCGCTTTAATCGCGAAAATGTGGAGTGGTTAGCGCATTATTTTTTGGCTGACAGCGGTGAAAAGCGAGGAGGAGCATTATCAGCTGTGAATAAGATGAACATTTTTCTGCGTCAGTTGTCAGACTCTGGCTTTCAAAATGCTGTTGCTGAAGAGCTTGGTGTTTGTATAACATATACTTCCGTCCTGAACGCTGTTTTGGAGAAGGCCAACATTTGGATTAAATTCCCCAAAAGTACTGAAGACTTTATGAATGCTAAACAACTGTGGTCGGAGAAATACCGTTTCCCAAATTCTATCGGCGCAATAGATTGTACGCATGTCAGGATTCCAAAGTTTGCTGAATTCGAATATATAAACAGGAAAGGATATCCTAGCATCAACATACAGGCAATTTGCAATGCCAAATAAATATTTACAAGTGTAGACTGTCAATGGCCAGGCTCTGTACATGACAGCAGAATATCTAAAAATTCCAATATAGCCAACATTCTTAAAAACAGCACCGAAAAATGTCTATTATTAGGAGATGATGGCTATTCTATATCCCCTTGGATTATGACTCCCTGGAGAAATCCAACAACCCCAGAACAGCAAAATTATAATAACGTTTTTTGTCGAGAACGAGTAATAATTGAACGATGCTTTGGGCAATTAAAAGCAAGATTTCCTGTCCTACAGTATAAAATCCGGAATAAATTAGAAAAAATACCATCGACAGTAATTTCCTGCGTTGTTCTTCATAACATAGCTAAATGTTTAAATGATGAAGATTCTGATTACGTGCATCATGAAGCTGATGCTGAAATTAACTTAGACACTGTCAATTTAAGTACAAATTTAATTCGTCAATTAGGATAACAAAAAAGGCAAATAGTGACTGAAATTATCATGTAAGTAACGACTGGTACTTATATTACGTGTAGGTACACAATTAAAACAAATCAGAAACACTATACCGTTATTAAACAAATGGCAACAGAACAATATAATTCTTAGGTACCTATATTCAACTTAAATTCAGATTTTATTAGTTTTTGATACTCGATGTAAACCCAAATTAAAAACTAAATCCTAAATTAAATAATTAATAATAATTACAAGTTGTAATACATTTTTTCCTCCGAAAAAGTACTGTTTGGCATAAAGTTACCATCACCTTGCTTCTGTCTCTTAATGATTTCTTCTTGTTGCATTCGACATAATTTCAACTGCTCTAATAGAACTAATCGATGTAACTCAGCAGTTGATAATTTTTGGGTTTCTTCAGTTTCTGGTAAATGTGACATCTTAATTTTCTTTGAGGGAAAAGTAATTTCTTTTGCACTTGAGGGGGCCAGAGTGCCACTGATGGCCGAGGTGGAGGATTCGGCAAGTGTCATGCTTTCGTTGGCTCCAACAGAGACAGCACCTGAATGACTTATTTTGATGTTTAAAAAAACCTACGATACAATAAAGTTTAATTTGCTTTACCTGGTATTTTTTGAAGATGGGATTCTTATGTACTTCCAACATTTCCATTAACAACTCTTCCCAAGACTTATAGATTATAGCTTTATTGCCTGTCTTATTAATATCAAATTTATTCTTTATTTCGGTCTTCATATTACTTATTTTTTTTGCTAACTGCTTTGTTGTAAGTGTCGCGTTAAAAATATCTTTATATTGTACTAAAATTTTTAAAGCGGCCTCCCTTTCTATTTCAACTTGTGGAACTTGCAATTTATTAAGAACGATTTTATGTTCTTTTAATTTATGTACAAATAACAACTGCTTATCCATTTCTTCCTCATCATGAGTTTCGTCACTTCCACTTGAATCAGCCATAATTTTCACTGCCTTTTTTATTTTTTGCCGAAAAATATGTTCCTAATCCCACCTACTAAGTTATGCCGAATGTAAGAAACTCGAAACTAAACTGAAATAAATGTGCGTATCGACTCCTAAACATACTTGCAAGTCTAAACGCGTCGAACACATACATATATAAGCAATTGCTTTTAAGATTCGGGAAATGCAGCATTTGCTTAAAAATATTATTCATTGCAAAATTTAGCAATTGCTTTTCCTTACAGCAATTGCTAGTTAAGCAATTGCTTTTGCCAAAAGGTAATTGCTTAAAGCAATTGCTTAGTTTTTATTCATTAGGCTAAATAAATTGTTTAAGCAATTCCTAGCCAGCCAGAATGCTGTTCAGACTGTCAACATGTACCGCACTGAAAGTTTCACACAGTACATAATATGAGTGCTTTCAAGAATATATTTGTGCGAGCCCTGTCACAAAAAAAAGTTTAATAGCAACTTTCAGATATACCCTGCTTAGAATATGCACCGTTAACTTTGCAAGATGAAAATTTGAAAAACTTTCTCTGAACATGCTAGAAAATGGAACATAACAAATAAACATATTAAGAAAGCAGATTTAAAAAAACGAACAAATTTGCAAAACCGTAAATGTCAAAAAACACCCTTACCTATTGAATGAGATACGCAAAACACGTATCAATGAAAACATTCATCCCTTCAACTTTGAAAATAAAGAATAAGAGGTCGTCAGTGTCTACTATTTTTGCTTAAATCACTGTTATGTAAAAAGGTGAACATCGTTTCGCTAACTAAACGTTTTTTGTAATTGCTTCAATAGTCTAATAAACAGACTTAGTCAAAGTTAAAACTGTGTTTAATGAATTGACAAAGCTGTATGTTACTTGTCATTTTTAAGTAGTCCTCAGCAAGAGAAAGTCTATTTTCCATGTTTTGTTGTGTTTGGCCAACATACACCATTTGGTAATAAGGTATTTTGTAAACAAAATTAGATTTATAGCCTTATTGGTTCTTTCCCAAAACTGTTCAAATAATGCTACCAAATGATTGGGCAGCATGTAAATGTATCTCCTTGTACAAATCTAGCAATGGGTGTATGAGAATCAGCGTGCATTCCGGTTTCATCTGGAATTCTAATTTTAGATACATTCGCCGTGACCTGAGCTAGAAGAACCCACGCAATTTGTCCCTCCGGAAAAGGGTGAGCGGAGTGATAATTATTTCAAATAATGGCGGGTCGATCATTCAAATATTTGCAAAGCAATGGAGAGAGGATTTTGGTGTACTTCAATCAGACATTGATACAGATCTTATTAATAGGCCGATTGGTAAAAGAAATGAAACGTTTTTTATGATTGGAGCAATTTCGATTATTCAGTCGACTAACATTTTGTGGTTCGCTAGATGTTTTATATTTGATGATGTTGACCAGTGCTTCGGAAAACTGCTCAGTGGCGCTAGACGTCAACTATCCGTCCGCGATACTCGGGGAATCCCAGAGTTATCTATTATTTCTATTTGGGGCTGCAAACATCGTAGAGATAAACACGGATGTTTGTTTCGTAGAAAAAAATGAGATAAGGAGGTTTTGGCCAGCGAATGTAAAGGTCCTTTATCCTCGGGTAGTTAATTAGGTGGTTATTAGCAAAAACTTTATCCAGAAGAAAAGATCTTATACGCCTACCTCAACATTTTTACAGTAATTACGGGTACCACAGAGGCAATTACTACGAAATAATTACGAGCATAGAGCGAGTTCTCACAATCGTACAACTTGCAGCTTTTGTGTTTCAGGGTGCTATCATAATGATTACAACATACTAATCGTGCTTCAGAATTCTCAAAAATGGCTGTTTATATCAATAATCGTATACTTGCAGCTAACACCGTTTGACAACTGGTGCAAGACATGTTTGATTATAATCTCTGATCAAGCTGTGTTTAGTCTAACGGGCATTAGATTGTCCATAGTAACTCGTTAAAACGCTCCTATTAAGGCCGTATAACCCCTTTTTTCAAATGCCTGTTTGAAACAGTCGTTTAATTTTATATTTTTATTTATTTTTAAATAGTTTTGTAGTAGAATCGAATGGGTGATTACTTTTATTCTTACCATTTTTTCTATTCGAAAAATCTCATTTTGTAGCAAATTGAGTTTTCAAGAGACTCAGAGATGTTTTGAGGAGAGAAAGTAATAAGTAAAAAAGTAATCACGCTATCAATTTTTCCATAAAAGTAGAATGTTCACATACAATTTCAGAACTGCAAGCACAAAAATGCATTTTTTGACAAAAAAGAAACTGACAGCATTGTTTTTCAGTCGTCTCTATTCACACCATGAAACGAAAATTATTAAAGCTCTGTTTGTACAGCAGTCACCAATCAGTCACAGTCCGTGCTTAAGATCTCGCCACACAAATTCTGTTCATTCAGCTACGCTATATACAGGAAAACCCGAATTTGTAACTATCCTGACCTTTCATTTCGAATTAAAATGGACCGGCGTTAGAACCGATCAGGTATCAATCGTAAACAGATTCGACACAATTTACAATTCAAGGAAGTGTACGATCAAAAGAAAACCATTATTTGGGGGTACAGAATAAACTAACGCATATTTTCAATCGAATGAACTGGTGTAACATATTGGCAACGCGGTAGATTGCTACGTCAGCGTTGCTATGCAACGCGGAAATGAGCTTCACTATTCATCCGGCTTCTATCTCCTTCTAACATATGAGTCTACACACTTATCTCTCGTATACGTTGAACTCAAGTCGTCAGACAAGTTTGATTCTCATTGTAGACGGAATTCATGCCCCACAAGTTACGGACAACCTTAAGAATACTCCTCCAGACAGGCTGAAAAAAGGAACATGCTACGTTAAAAGCTTCTCACATGTATCCGTTTCTCTATACACACTTCTCTCTCGTACACGTTGAACTCAAGTCGTCAGACAAATTTGATTCTCATTGTAGACGGAATTCATGCGCCACGAACAATCTTAAGAATACTCCTCCAGACAGGTTGAAAAAGGAACATGCAACGTTAAAAGCTTCTCACATGTATCCGCGTCTCTTGGTTCTAAATTTATGTTAGGCGTAGCTACCTTTTCAGCATGCTCGTTGACAGTGTTTGACCCTTCATTAAACTAGACCTTCCCGGAATTTTCGGCTACATTAACCTCCTACCCCCAGGCATGGATTCATAAAGCGTGTCGATAGACACGAAAGTGAATTACGTATCCCCTTTGGCTGCTGTAGGTCCTGATCTAGCCTGCCATGGCTACTGTAATTTTGGAGAGCCGAATGAGGCTGATTGAGCAAGCCAAACTGGCACATCGAGCGGCGCTGCTATATTTGGGATGAGAGATATCTTTTTAGATATTGTTCAGTGGAGGCGCGCGAGTATTATTTCCAGGCAAAGGCTCGCATGGACTATTGAGGTACTCCAAACGCAGACTGTGCGTCGAATAGGTTAGAACAGCATTTCTCAACCTGTGGGGTGCGCCCCCTAGAGGGCGTGTCAATATTAAAGGGAGGCGCAAGCATATAAAAACAACACTAACAACATTGAATAATTTACTAAAAGGAAAGAAAAACAAAATTCTGACATAATCAAAAATAATATATACATTAACACTGATCTAGTAGGTACACTTATAAACAGGACTGTATTTATCAATACTAAATTAATAATAAGTTTAATAATATTAATTGTGAAAACTAATAATAATTACTAGTGACTCTCTTGGCCCTGCTTTGGCGAGCAAAGCTTGTCGAAACAAGGTTTAATAATTGAAATAGACACTCTAAGTTCTTTTTCTATATTTAGCTGCGATATATTTAGTCTTCAAAGCAGCCATCGCCGAAAATCTTGTTTCGTAAAGGTAGGATGTTGAAAATGTAGTAGTAGACGAAATGCTCCGATTTTCAGTGCCCAAAACTCATCGTTCACGCCTGCCCAAAATTCAAAGAGGGACTTATTATTAAACTGTTTTTTTTTTTATTTCGACGTTTGCCGTCAAGTCTATGATGATTTCTTCTTCGACAGTGGAGAGCCCTTCGGGGGTAATTTGAAACGGATTTCTAACCCACTCGTAACTACTAAGTATTAATTTCGTCGTTGGCAGGAAAATATTTTTTCAAATTCTTTGTCAGCATCGCTAAATGATTACAATTGTTACGAAAACAACGTTCATGTGTTGTTCTTCAACCTTGTAAGTTTTAATACATGCATCCACATTTGCAAACATTTCCAGGTTTTTTTTTGTTTTAAATTTCTGCTCCACAATTCCAATTTTCTACAAAAAGCGTTAACTTTATCACTCGTATAATATATGTATATTTGCTTCTTGGAGCTGAAGGTTCAAGATATTTAGTTTCTCGAATATGTCGACCGGGTGGCTACTTGGGCTCAATTTCATCGGAAATAAACCATCCCGAAACATCTCGGCTTCCGGTCGGTTTACTTCTTCTAGAAAAACGGCGATCTCATGTCTTAATTCAAAAACACGTTATACACATTTCCCACGTGATAACCATCTTGCCTCGCAATAGAATAGTAATGCTGAATGTACTGAACCGATATCTTTACAAAGTGCAGAAAAGATTCTAGTTTATTTTTATATAATTAACTACTATTACAGCCGTAGTTAGCACAATATTCAGGCCAGGAGATATTTCTTTGGGAGCTAAAGCTTCTCTGTGAATCATGTAATATGTCCAGGTGCACAGTGCAGATTTTTATTTTAGAGGGGCTAGTTAAGCATAATGTGGAA